CCTATTACATCGTTATTATCATATATGCTTGTCACGGAGGTCGCTATTGTTATTACATTTAGAATTGCCTTTTTGAGCAGTATTATCACGCTGAACAGTTGCAAAGGTTCAGCTTGACACTGGTTCTAAAGAGTATTTGCCAGTGACCATTCGAGAAGTCACTGAATTCAACATTTGTTGGCGAACGAAGAAATTTAGTTGTTTCTTGAACTGCTTTCATGGTCAACCAAAAATTTTTCTCATTTCAAATGCACCCACTCAAAACTTCACATTCCTATCAGCCGTACTTATCATTGTTGGAGTCATCAACTGGACTCGATCAAATTCATTTGTTACTGCCAGAGATTTTACTACTACTGATGATTTTTTGATTATGTGTTCCACCTGTCCCAACAAATCATTGACTTGATGGTTTTGTCAAGAACGAACGCATTCTGATATTCAAGTTTGCCGTTTCGATAGAAATCCATTTTGGCTTCATGTAAAAATTTTGTTGAACTTCAAGGGATTCAAGGGATAAAGGATAGGTGATTTCAAATTTGCTAAATTAGCATATCGAAGCTGAACAACTAATGATTGCTTTGTGAATGAATCGATGAAATTGTGCATTAATTGAAGGGAGAACGTGATGCGTTTGATACACTGTTCGATTATGGTCCAGATAAGCTGGCACACGTCAAAAGTTCACTGTTAGCGTTTTGCAACAAACATCTGAACAAGATCAATCTTGAAGTAAGTGATCTTGAGACACAATTCCAAGACGGTGTTCATTTGGTGCTGTTGATGGGCTTACTCGAAGGCTACTTCGTACCACTCTATAGTTTTCATTTACAGGTCAGTGAGCGACACTTCACTTATCTCAAACTATCTATCTATTTTATTAACATTCGATTTATAATACTTATTACTGATATTGACACTATTGTTGAATCTCCTTTCAATTGGAAAATTTTCAGTACAGTCATTTAACGATAATAATTCCTGTTGATAGTAAAGATCTCATCAGAACGTTTCGTCCTTTCTTCAAAAAAAAAACGTCCTTCCAGGTGTCGACCCACGAACAAAAAGTGCACAATGTAGCATTTGCATATCAGTTAATGGCAGAGGCTGGTGTTCAAAGACCTCGAGCACGTGTGCAAGATATTGTTAATGGTGATCTGAAGAGCACTCTACGAGTTTTACATTCTCTTTTCACTAAATATAAACACGTCTGAAGTAATTTCTCGTTGATTTATCATCTTTTTATGGGATCATCATCCATCATTTTCTTCTTTTGCAACTTCAATTTGATAGTTTTCATGTGCCTAAATCTAATCACTGCCATAATTCAGTCATAATATATTTTTTTAAACAATTCATTTCGATAATTCACATCGTTTTAAAAGATTCAGCGAATCAAAATTCTCGTGATTACATGTACGTAGTCTCTTCTCATCTTCAGCATTTATATGTCAAATAACACTATGTAAATGAGACATTCAGAGTTAATATTTTCAAAGTCAGTTCGTTTCTATCTCCTCTATTAATTCTTATTCGTATCTTAAAGCGCCGATACATTCATAGGA